GCGCAAGCGCTTCTCAAGGAGACCAATGGCGAAGGAAAGGTGCAATTCGACAAGTGGGAAATATTCTATGCCGACGAGCGCGCGGTGCCTCTCGATCACGAAGACAGTAACCATCGACTCGTCAAGGAGGAGCTTCTCGACAAGATACCGTCTGAGTTGGGCACACCCAAGGTCTACCCCATCGACGTCAAGTACCTCGATGACGTACAAGAACTGGCCGACCAGTACGAGAAGACGCTCGTCAGTGTGTTTGCAGCACGCGACAGCGTAAAGTTGCCACTCTTCGACCTGCTTCTGCTTGGCTGTGGACCGGACGGACACACCTGCAGTTTGTTCCCCGGTTCTGAGCTATTGCGCGAAACCGAAGCATGGGTACTCTCCATCTCCGACTCTCCCAAGCCTCCCCCGAAGCGCATCACCATCTCCCTTCCCGTCGCACAACATGGACTCAAGATCGCCTTCGTCGCGACTGGCGGAGGAAAGAAGGACATCATGCGCCAAATCTTCGATTCGGACGAGGGTCAGCAGCTGCCTTGTGGTTTGGTGAACCACAAGGGCGGAGACCGCGTTAGCTGGTTTGTTGACTACGCTGCTATCGAGGGTGTTTCTTTCCCAGCGCGCCGTGGTAGCCTGTGAGAACAGGGAACGGAATAGCTGTGCTTTCGTATGGGATGGACGTACGCGCCATTTCACGAAGTATGCATTGGTCGCTCACTCGGCTTAGATACAATAGATAACGAACTCTGACGATATTCCCTTTCCATTCTTTGCTACTGGACATGCTCTTGCCATAGCTAGGGTTCTAGCCATATGTGGTACTAGCGCTGTGGCCCGCGCTCATTGGATGTCAACAACCGATGTTTCGTGTGTTTGTGCATACCCGGCAACATCAGACCGAGCTACCAACACGTTCACGATAGCGCCGCGACCTGTATCGAAGATGAACTCCAAGCCGCGCTCACAGATAGGCAGAATCGGCCATGCGCCCCCACGGGCTCGGGTAAGCCATGCGCCGTCCCGTAGTAGACAATACCTAACAGGTTCCAGAACGCTGCACCAGTCGCGCCGACCGGTGACGACAAGGAAACAACAAGACATGGCACAAGTGGCATTGCGCGCCCTGCCTCTAGTAGATTACCGTCAATTCAGGGCGATTCGGAGAATCGTCGCAGCTTACTGTGGGTAAAACCTGAGCGTGTAAGGGATCTGGCTAAGACTAATCTTCCTCCTATCTAGTCCCCAGCCCGGCCAGCATAGATACAATACCCGGTCAAGTATATTACCTGAAGTATCTGACAGAGACGCTGGATCGGAAGATGCGGGGGATGACTTGAACGGGACGCAAGATCAGCCAGACACAGCGTCACCAACGCAATGCGTTCAGGTTCCGGGTGCAGTACCAGGGCGACTTCGACCAAAATCCACATATCAGACGGGCACCCCATCATCTCAACGCACGGAAAGTGCTGAAAAGACAAGTGCTCCCCGGACGATGCTGCCTCCAGCTTCAGTCAGCAAGCCTGCAGAGCCGCAAGTACGAGGGCTTGCCCGATCGCAGTCTTTACGGAAGCCAGGTGCTACGTCGCACTCAGCTCAGGCATCGGGCCCTCCTGGTCATGCCAGGACCCAGTCGACCAGTACCATATCAGCCCCTAGACGTGATGTTGCTAGATCGAACACGATCTCCGAGCGACCAAAGTCTCTACTATTGGCACCAACGCGTACCTCGAGGACTAACAACACATCTGGCGATACCTTATCTGGTCCAACGCGGACGTCGCTACGGAATGCAGGGCTCAGCCGCTCTGCTAGTACGAAAGCCAGGCCAGAAGCATCCAGTGGCCTGCCGAGCACTGGTACGGTGCGCAGGGCCGAAGAGCCCGTTGGCACTCAGTCAAAACGTAAAGACGTCGTGTCAGAAGAGCCGAAGAAGGCTAACCGACCAGCTTTCAGCACGCTTCAACAGCACTTCACACCACGTAAGGTTGGGAAAGCTCCCACTGCCACATTCATCAACCCTGCACCTCAAACAGTGTTGCAGTCGCTTTCTCCAGAGGCGATCAGCTTGCAATCTGAACTGCTCCAACTTCATCTTCTGCATCAATCGTCGGCGGAGACATATAGATGTTGGGAAATCAGTGCGAAGCGTAAGATGCGCACGAAGTTTGAAGAGGTTGCTAGCCTTTACCAAGTCATGTTAGAGAGCGAACGTACAGCACAAGAACAGAAGAACTTGCAGTCCTTGCTGGAGTGGAGTGCTAGCGGCTCATCTGCGAGCCTGGTTGAGTACATTCAGGTCCTTTCGGAGCCCCTTCACGAACTGCCGTCACTGGTCGAATCGGGTGGTCGACTACAGCGTCTGGTGAAAGATTTTGAGCATTGGTCGTCCTGGGTCCAGGAGATTCGGTCCGCCCGCCAAGGTCCGCATGGAGCCAAGGCGGCTCTTGGGACAATTGAAGGCCTTGGGGATTCATGGAAGGCCGAAAATGCTGCGTTGACCAGGAAGTTAACAGCATTTGCACGCGACCTGGACAGGCTGGCTTTGCCAACACCCGGATCAAGCATTGCATGTATAGTCGAAGCATGTAAAGCCATTCTACACGGCATCTTGGATGAGCTGCAGACGATGCAGAAGATTGAGACTGAAGTGGTGTCACGCGAGAAAGACTGGGTTGAGGATCGTCTTCGACTGATTGCCCGGGATGTCGGGACACAGTGGGTGGATACTGATGGGCAAAGTGCAGCTTGGCGCATGTGAAAACGTAGAAGCTGATGGAAAGACTCAGAGGTACGGTGTTGGTGGTAACAGGATGGGAAGAGATTGGGAAAATATCGTGGTAATACAGAAGCTTTCTTCCATGGCCCTTGTAGCACATGTGCGACGAGTTCCGCATTCGGGAAGGTTGCGATAACCTTGCCCCAATTCTATTACTCGCATCTCAATACGGTGTTTCGTGTTACCGCAAGCGCATGCCAGTCAGGCCACAAGTCATGTCTTCAGTCTAGATTCGGCAGATGTCGTAACAGAGAGCTTCAAAGATCCCGTGCTGACTGACGACGCTAGTTTCGGATGATTTCCCGCTCATCATTACCGATAACCATCTTTCCGTCTTACTCAGCCGTCATCCTTCCACAAGCTCCTCCTATCGTTGGCTATGGGTGCATCCGGCAAGCACTTCGTCGAGATTCCCTGATACTTTGTTCGCGCAAACCGGCATGTCGATCCCGGTGAGGTCTCTTCACAGTACTGCATCAAATCGCGCCTCTCGTAACTATGGCGTTGATAATACCTCCTTCACGGGCATCTTGGCCTACGACTTGGCTCTCGCTTGTCCAGGCTACTGAGTGCAGGTATTCTTCGGTGCAGCAATGGCGCTGACTGACTCTGGTACCACCGAGGGAGCGATACGCACGTATGGGCATACTACATTGCGGACCTTCGGCCTCTCTGTAACGGGCCCTATGAATGACCCACCGGATGCATTACGCCTGGTTGTCTGAACGTTCCCATATTAGGAGCCATGCCACCGAACACGAGCTCCGACATTTAAGCAAGACTCCGACTGCACGGCACTCACATGCGGCACGGATGGCGCTTTTACACTCCAGCTATTGCATGTCTGGATATCGACTATCTTACAGTTGGACATCCATTTCGAAAGATCTTATATCGACACTGTTCCTAAAGCATCCTACCAGTTCTGATGGCGGAGGCCAACTTCTGTGTCCGGTTTCTAGGTTCAAGTCCCACCTGTGCAGTGTCGTACGGACATGGAACGACCACAGGAAGATACCAACATCTTTGAAGTGCGGTCCAAGCGCCCCGGCCCGACTGTCACAGCCTCCATCAATCAGCGTCATTATTCTCGTTCCCGCCACGAGCCGGCTACTATACTCACGGCGGTTACATCCCGGATCAACAAAGGTTTCTACTGTGCCCCGATTCATTCCAAATCATTTCAGTAGGGCCAAAGTTTCGGATTCTACAGCTGCCGTGGTTGCAAACAGTGGCATAACTCTGAGTACCTACAAAGTCTCAAGTCTCCGTTTCTCTTCCATATCTATCAGTATGTATATCATGCGGTAGCTCTATCGTGTGGTGCAGATGTGGAAGCCTGGCCATGTGTGTGTATACCAGCGCGTTTAGCGGGAGCGTGTTGACCGACATGTAGCCGGCGCATGAGGCTTTCATCTTATTGGTGTGCCAATTTGCACCTTCCAAAAAGGCTACCATAGCTGACTCTATTACACAAGATCCGCCAATATGTTACCGTAGTACTGGCTGGGCTTGTCTCCTGCAGAGCAGCTTGGTCATCCATCAGGGTCATGGGCCTGAGCTGGCGCACGCAGTAGGGATGGTTACTTATGCTTGCCGAGCTGCCAGGGCCAAGTATTCTGCAGCTTGCATGTATCAATGCGCAAAGTTGCCACGGGCTTGGAAGTTTTGACCAATAGAAACAGAAGGTTGACGCGTACAAAGCACGATCTAGTCAATACAGTGAGTTGCTCTAACTTCCCCTATTGCCGCTCGATTAGCATCTGGCCTTACCATGCTTGGGAACAACTCTCATACGCTGAAATAGCCGCCTGTACACAATATTGCCAGCAGTGAAGAGCTATTGTAATGGGTGCTTCGTTCGCTGCACGAGCATGATTTCTGGTTGCAAGGGCACATGAAGCAAGGCTCGTCGCGTCGCCCAAGGTCCTCGTCGCCATTTCTCAAAACTTCCAAGATGAGAAGAGCTCAAGACTACTCCGATGACGGCGAGGATCGGACGCCTCCACAGAGACAGGAGTCAAATCCCGGTTTTTCTGGCAGCTTCAGTCGTCCCAAATCCGCGTCATTCGCAGGTAACCCTTCACCGGACATTACGCCATCTTTCGACTCGATGAACGCCCCGATACGGGCTCAACAACGTCCACACTCGATAATCCTACCTTCGCCTTCTTCCTTCAACTTTCACATCTCCCAAAGCCTGCCTTCAATATCACCACCAGCGATGTCGCAAACATTAGGACCAAGTACAAGCTTACTCCACCTCCAACAGCAAATCAGCCTCAAAACTTCGGAATTGCGTACCCTACAGCGCGAATACGGTACTCTGCTCCAGAGCCTCGAAAGACAAAAGACGACGTGCGCCACGCTCGAAAGAAAGCTCGAAATCAACGACGGAGAGGTCAGCATTCTCATGGATGAGAAGGATAGGCTGTCAGTACAAGTTTCGACAATGGAAGGTCAAATGGAAGAGCTACAGCAGAGTAGGGATGAGGCTCGGCAGCAGCTCATCGCTAATGGAGCACAATACATGCAAATCATGGACATGGCCAACCGGCTCCAGGCACAAAGCACTGAAGAAAAGAGGGCATGGGAAGCTGAGAAAGCCGGGCTCGAGCAACGTATACGTTTACTGGAAGAAGCTATGGTATCTGGAACTGAGACGTCGGTGTCAATATCAGACACGGAACAACAACCTGGCATCACTCCAGATCCATCGCCCGTCGACTTTACGCACAGTACTAGCAGTTCGGTTTCCTCCCAGAGAGAGACTATCATCGTCCTCCGTGCTGAGATCAGTCGTCTTCGCGCGAGGACCCAGACACTTGAAGCGGCGGTGCAAACTATGCGGCGCGAAAGTCTCTCTATCCAGGAAGCAGCAAGGCAGATACTCGAGTCCAGTGGGAAGATGGACGAGACTTCAATCGGAGTAGAAGGTGGTCAAAGATGATACAATACAAATTGCGCAGCACAAATCACTCTCCCCACAAAAGTTTATTCGCCAACAGCTTCGCACTGTTGTTTGGGTCTCGTATTGGAAGGAAATTAGGCTTAAGGGACGGATCACAAGGTTTCCATGTTACTCTGCTATCTATACCCTGTCATAGTGTTCTATGTAGACTGAAATGTGGACGCTCCTGTAGAAGTATGTGTCTCAAGCGCAATCGAAGATTAAAAAGGTGCTGATTGCCGTACACTGTTCTGTGTGAGAAGAACATACACCTTCATTTGCTTCAGTTACACCTAATTCCTCTGGCTTTCTCAGCGATACGTACCAATGGTTGATGGGATGATCGCACTGTGAGTTTGGGGTGTTTCTCTAGCGACATCGCGGTGTCTGGCTCAATTCGCACGCTGACCGATAACTGCCCAGGTCGACAACACTCTAGCTGTATCCATCATCACCCCATCTTTACTAAGCTTTATTACCTTTTCTATCTAGGTAGTCTTCACTTGCATGTAAAGAAGCTTGACTAGGTACTGTGTAATATGCTCAACCCTGCAGGCCAACGACATGCCACGCATTGCTTGATTGCCTCACCATCGCCCTTGGTACACATGCTTTGCGTTTTTGGATGGCGGTATGCCTGCTGTGTTGGTGAGGAGCGTAGAAAAGGCCTAGATTCTGATTGTTAGATTGCGTTAGTCCATTTGCCTGCACTCGTACAGGGTCAAGGTTCAAGGGTTGGCAGGGTCCCGGAATAATGTGGAAGCCCGTATTGACCGTTTCGTGCTGACGATCACCGCCACCACTTCGTAATACCTTTGCTTGTTTCGAATAGAATGTATTGACTTCGATGGCTAGTCGAGCGTGTGGTAGCTTATGGGAATCTTCCTGTCACTGAACTCAGCCGTTTCTTCTTCAATAGAAGGCTAGCTTTATGGACTGGTGACTGTAATGCCCAAAGACGGGGGCTAGATCGGGGGTGCCAACTCCATCTCGTCGGCGATCTCGTATCTGCGTTCCGGTTTCTGCGAGATGCTAAGACATGGCGTTGGATTGCTAAGCTTTACGTTATGGTCACTTTATGAAGCGCCTATAAGAGGAAAGTGACTATATACTAGAGGCTTTCAAGGCGTTGGGGATATTAGATTAGACTACACAACTGTTCTGAATTTACCCTTCCTTCAATCTGCGATGGCTACTAAGCACAAGCTTTATCGGACGCCTATTGCCAAACAGTTCCATAGTCGTTCTTCGTGGGTATCGGTAATCATCCGCACTTATCCCTGGGTGGCTTCCTTCTGTTTCCGGGCTTCGTCCTCTTCAGGCGTTCGAGTGATGAGTTGCAGCGCGTGTATACCGCCTTCTTGAGCTAACTCGTCCTTCATCAAGGAGTTGATCATGCGATGCCGTGCGAGCTGCATCTTGCCTTGGAAGGCCGGCGATGTGATGAAAACACTGCGAGCGTTAGTAACACAAGTCACGTAGCTGAGAAGCTTGCAGGTCGATGAATACCGGAAGTGTGTCTCTCTGCTGGTGACTCCTTGCATAGCTTTGTGGTGGGCATGCTTATTCGAATCGTTGAAGATCTCGAGTGAAGTCGGCTTCAGGGCCTCTGTGATCTACGAAACTTTAGATGCAATGCTGGATACGCAGTTGAGGTATGTCAACCAAAGTGCATAACTACCTTCGTCCTCAGAGCATCTTCCATTGGTGTCATGGACTGAGCCATGGCTGACATGAAACGCTTTCCAGCGAGCGCGATATTTGGAAGGAACATTCACCACAATGCTTCCTAGTCGGGTAGGGTGTCAAGTAGGGCCAATGAGAATACTGGATCGCAGTGGTGGAAGTATTGGGTTGCGTCGGCCCTAGAATTCGTGCCGAGGCAAGCGCCAAGACGAAATCGGAAGGCGTCGCGTCATGGTTCCGAAAGTTTGAAGCGCAGTCAGACGAGCCATTGAGGCCATGAGACTGCCAGAGCATGCTTGAAAAGATGATGGTGACAAGTAGAATGGCGTCTTGATTACCATACTTTTATGATTAAATGACAACTTTTGCGCTGCTGTCTGGAGACTGCGGAAACACGATCACTGCGACGCGGCTCTAAACACAGCACATCTCGCACCGATCTGCCGTACTCCGAAGCCTCGAAACCTGCATCAATTGCGCTGATCCGGGACATCTCCCTGCCGCCATGTGGGCGCGTAATCTTTTCGCTCGCACCCTGACACGACACAAAATATCTCTGCCGGCATACAACAGCCATTGCTGCCCACCCGTCGCACACGCTCCCTTCTATACCGTGAGAATGGCATCCACGCTGCCCCGCCTCCCCGTCTTCGAAGCCATCAAGAAGCATGATGCGCAAAGTACGGCCGTTGTCCACTCTCTTTCCGGACGGTCCTTCACGTACGGCGAGCTTGTAAACGATGTCGCTGCTGCCAAGGACAAGCTGCAACGGAACTGTGGCGGGCAGAGCGCAGAGGGCCAACGGATATCCTTTCTGGTAGAAAATGGATACGACTATGTAGGTGCGCGTTCCTCTACGCCTCGTGTACAACAGCAAAGGCAGCAGAATCTGACGCATACATAGTGACCCTCTTGTCCATCCTCGCCGCACATGCAATCGCCGTACCGCTATCGCCCACCTTCCCAGCACACGAGCTCCGATACATCATCGACCAGAGCGAGTCTCTGATGCTTCTCTCGTCGGAGAAGTTCCAGAGTCAAGCCGACGATGTGCTGAAGGAGGGAATGGAGACGCAGCCCATCAACTACAAACAGGACAAGATTATGATGGGCAAGACGGACGACTACGTCACGCTGGAGGAGCCTACCAGCGACAAGGGAGGCATGATGCTGTACACGTCGGGCACCACAAACCGACCCAAGGGTGTTTTGTTGCCTCAAGACGTGTTAACGGCACAGTCGCGATCGCTGTTGGAGGCGTGGAACTACAGTAAAGACGATGTGCTATTACACGTTCTTCCTTTACACCACATCCACGGCACCGTCAACGCACTGCTTACGCCTCTCTTCGCCGGCAGCACTATCGAGTTCCAGTTCCCATTCAATGCTACCGCTGTATGGGATCGCCTGGCAGCTCCGTTCCTGCCGAGCCCTGATCCAGTCAAGAAGCCCATTACCTTCCTTACCGTAGTCCCAACCATATACACGCGCCTACTCGCATCGCACCCTACCCTCTCGTCCGAACTTCAAGCCGCGACCAAGACCGCGCTTCACCCATCGAATATGCGCCTCAACATCTCAGGGTCCGCTGCCCTTCCTACACCAGTGAAGTCAGCCTGGACAGAGCTCAGCGGGGGCAACGTGCTGCTCGAGCGATATGGCATGACTGAGGTGGGTATGGCGCTTTCCTGCGGATTGGATTTCGCAGATCGCGTAGATGGCTCTGTAGGCTGGCCGCTTCCATCGGTACAAGCGCGTTTAGCAGACATCGAGACTGGGGAAATCATAGAAGAGGGCAAAGAAATCGATCCCGAGACACAACGCGAACGCCAGGGCGAGATCCAACTGCGCGGCCCTACAATCTTTAGGGAATACTGGAAGAACCCCGAAGCCACCTCCAAAGAGTTTACTGAAGACGCAGATGGGCAAGGGAAATGGTTCAAGACAGGCGATGTCGCTGTTCGAAGGAATGTCAAAGGAGCAGGCGAGAGCGACCAGGCATGGGCCAAGGGACCTCTTTACTTCATCCACGGGCGCAAATCAGCCGATATCATAAAGACCGGCGGCGAGAAGGTTTCTGCCCTCGAGATCGAACGCGAGATGCTTTCCCTCCCTCAAGTCGATGAAGTTGCCGTTGTCGGTCTACCATCAGAAGCCTGGGGTCAGAAAGTCGCTGCCGTAGTGGTACTCTCCGAACAGGGAAAGACAGCAGGAAAGGGAGGCAAAGCATGGTCTGCGCTGGACATGAGGAGGGCGCTCAAGGAGATGCTCGCAAACTACAAGATCCCTCAAGAGATGAAGGTTGTGGATACTATCCCAAGGAATGCAATGGGCAAGATCAACAAGAAGCAGCTTGTCAAGCAAATCTGGGGCGAAGCATTGGAGGGGACCAAGGAGAATGGTGCTATACAGGTACCCAGTGGAAGTGTCTAGTAATGTGTAGATAATAATAGTGTAACATCTCCAATCATCAGCAAATATTGTTTTCACAAGAAAAGGGCCATGTTCCATATATTAGACGACTTTGACAGCCTTAGAAACCCCTCACCTTGATCACTATACTCCGCAAGATGAGCATAACAACGCCAAGATTGCAAAGCCACACCCGTCATACTGTAAACGCTCTATTCCCCGGGTATGCATACACCCTTTCCCCGCCCACCGGGAAGCAATCATCGTAACTTGCATGAGCGCACCTCATACAAGGAAAAAACTAAACAGGTCTAGAGCCTACATTAACACTAAGTTATCTATCTTGTAGGGTTTTAAGTTGATGTAGGCTGCAGGCCTGTTTAGCTTTTTTCTTAGTTGGCGTGAGCGCAGCGTCAAAGGATCCCAAAAGCGCCTCTGACCTCAGCCCAGAAAGGAGGCTTGGGGTGGAAAATGCTTGTACATCGTGGCCTCACGCCACGCCAAGGCAAGCCACAACTGCCATGCCATGACGTGTGCCATGCCTCCTAGTAGCAAGCCGTTGGCGCCTGCAGCGGAGCAATCGACCGATGGCTCAAGGCAAGTAGGTTTGTTGGAAGATCTGCAATGCGGGAGATGATTGTGATGTAGACTCCGGCTGTGCGAAGAGTGCAGGTTGTAATGTGGGAAGGAATTGGGGTACAGGGAAGAAGGATCTGGAGAAGGAACACGCGAGTATGTATTAGACGGCAATGCATCGCATCGCGACATTGTATTCAGACTGTTCAATAGTGGGTATTCGAAATGGTATTAAAAAGAATACATGTTCGTCACGGGCGATACACGTGATTTACGCATACCTGATCCCATGCGATGGTCATCAACTTCGGCGCATTCAATGCTGA